TTTAATCGTTAAATATTTAAAAGACAACGAAATTTTAAACTGAAAAAAAAACTGGAGAAAACAAATGATGAAACTGAAAAAGCAATGTAAGAAATGACAATTCAAAAGTAATCACTATTTCCGGTTGTCCACCTTATCGCGTAATATATCAAATAATGATTAATGTTTTCTGTTAAAAACAGATTAAAGATCAACTGCGTTACTATGACGCAGTACCCTTGTCCCTGGTTCAAACTTTAACCACCCTACCCTCAATGAACTTTCGATCTTTGTCCCCTGGGGTATAAAAGCACTCCTCCCCATCACCGGAATCGCCACTACCGACCTACTACTGCGACCTACTTCTATATAACTAATACTCCTATTCTGGGGAGCTTCAGCTCCCCAAAACCTTACCGCAATTATTTGTATTCTCGTATAATATGTATTCTCATTTTATTATAAATATGTATATAGGACGCGACGTTTTATATGCAGATACACACATACAAACGGGGTACACACTAGTCTAATAAGTTAACAATTAAGGTCGCGATAACCTTCAGCAGATGAAACGCGCTCAAGGTGGACAGGAGATGACCGGCAGGCGATGCATCATTAGCCATACCGATTGGAACAAGTCACCAGTTTTGTACAGTTGGAAAAACACACTACGAACTACAGTCGGTCAAAATAGCATAACTAGAATTTTTAAATTTTTCCAATTTCTTCATTTTTATGTGTTCGTTTTTTCCCATTTCCTATTTTTAATTAATATATAAGATGAAATTGGAAGTGTACAAAATGATTACTTTTGCAGCTGTTTCTGCTCATCCTTTCGATTTTTTTGTACCGTTAAAACATCTTTTTGACGTTTTTTTGCTTCTTCCAAATCTTTTTCAAAATCCTCACGTTTCACTTCATCTTCTTTCAACTCAGACATAGCAGTATGCCTGAAAAAAATAAGGAATAATCAAATCAACTAAGCAAAAATTACAAGAATAAAGAAGGAATTAATTACACACTGCCAGAAATAATTAACAAAATTCAGCATTATCTTTGTGCTTTCAAAAAAAAAAAACTTTGTAAAAAACGAGCTTTTGACGTGCCAGCCCGCAATAGCAAAGAATGGGATCCCAAAGTCTGATCGTATTTTTGGCATAACAGCATGCAAAAAATTAATTTTTAGAAAGTTAGCAAGAACTTTTTCTAACACAATTACAAGTATGAGGAAAAACAAGAAATTTTTTGAAAATTATTTCATCTCCTGTACTTGCTGCTTCATAAAGTTCATAAAGTCTGCAACACTGGGAAGCAATATTCACTGTTTAAAATATGCGAAAAAGAAAACAAAGTTCAGGTAAAAATGTTGTGCAAAGAAAGGAGATGGACATTAATCCTTCATTTCACCGACTGGCCGCCAAAATCATCTGTCTGAGAAACACAGAATACCGAAAAACCCAGCCAAACACCACCGAATTTAGCAAAATGAGCACAAAACCCAGCCAGATAACGAAGTTATCCAAGTGAGCGATAATATCAATTAAGTTGTACTAAAAGTCAAACCCAGGCTGGAACGCACCAGGCGGGCCGGTGCGATTATGCGTTTTTGCACTTCTCGT